AATTATTGCTGTAATTGAATTATGGCTGTAATTGAGCATGAATTATGAGTGTAATTTGTTGCAATTTACAGTTGTAAATTGAGGCATCATCTGACTGGACATGATCTTTTAGCTTTTTTTGCAATAGTGAACACAATATTTCTTAGATGAATGCTGCTATCATTAAATGAATCCATTTTATCCAATGGATGTTTTTTGCAAGTAATTGGAAGGAAATCCTGAAAACTGGCAACTCCCCCCCCCCCCACAAATTCTAATCCTGTATGTGACCATAAGACACTGCAAATATCTATAAAGGTATATGATTAACAAGCGCCTAAAATGCTATCATGTGACTGCAGGACAGGGAGAAAGTAATCCCAACTTCAAAATTGGGTTGTAAGTTGCTTTTGACAGGTTTGTCATAACTTGAACAATTGCTAGATAATTGTTAATAAGTCAAAGACAAACTATACAAGAAGAAGATAATATGAGTATATTAATGTGTGTGGACCTGGTTATGATATTTCATGAACACATGAAATGACTCAAGAATACAGGATTGAGCAAATGAAAACTAGATACAACTTAATTAATAGATGTGTCCATTATTTATATCTAAGCATATTCACTTTTAAAACAACTATAACAAGAGAAACAGATCTGAGGAAATCATTGTAGGAATTTGTTTAAATATATTAGTGATTTGCATATATTGCTTGTCTATTTGTTGGAGTCATTTGCAAGCATGATCTCTCTTTCTTTGAAAAGGTTTGGTCAATTCATAACTTAAATATATATAATATACTTTAAATTTCAAATAGGTAAAATGACAATAGGTAAAGGTTTCCTCTGTCCAATCATGACCAACTCAAGGGGGCAGTTCTCATGTCTGTTTCTTAGCTGAGGTAGCCAGCATTGTCTGAAGATATTTTTGTGGTTATGTGAATGGCATAACTATACATCAAGGCACACAGAATGCTGTTACCTTCCCTCCGAAATATATACCTTCTAGCATTTGCATGTTTTTGAACTGCTGGATGGGCAGGAGCTGGGGCAAGTATTGGGAGCTCACCTCATTGTGCTGTGCTCTGGTCTCAAACCAGTGGTGGGATTCACATTTTTTTACTACCGATTCTCTGGGCGTGGCTTGGTGGGCGTGGCGGGGAAGGATCTTGTAAAATCTCCAGTCTGAGGTGATATTTGCTGGTTCTCCAAACTACTCAAAAGTTCCACTACTGGTTTTCCAGAACTGGTCAGAACCTGCTGAATACCACCTCTGTCTCAAATCCACCCAGCATATTTAACTGCTGAGCCATTGCAGTCCTCAAAGTGATAATTATTGCAGTTATTGTGTTGTGGCCCTTTTTAGCAGGTGTTGGTTAAACTGTTGCATGATTGTGGATGATTTCATTTTAATGTGTTTTGTATTGAAAAGTAAAGGTCGAGCACTGTACTTGTTCAAAAAGTCATTTTCCAAGTTAGGAGTAATGGACTTTTAAACAAGGCTGTAATTTCTTGCATTATATATTTTCTTACAAATTCTGAACAGAAATAGTTAACATTTTCTTTTATTAATTATAAACTCTAATCTAATTTATTATATTTTATATTGCTTATGCACAGCAAACAGAATAAAAACAGTCAGCAGTCAAACATGTAATTAAAATTAATTTTCTGTTTATGTTTTATTTTATTTATGATTAAACTTTTATACCATCCATTTTGTTGAGATAATTCTAGGTTATTTACATTCACTCAATAAAAGTATTAAATAAAACATTACAACAATAAAGATGATAGTTTTAAAATTTAGTTAAAAATTCAATTGACCAAAATGGATAATAAAAGAACAAAGTGTGTATGGGGAGGAGGTAGTGTCTATCTAATCTGTTAATCATCTCCAACATGCACTCCTCCATTGGGGTTTAAGGACAGTTGGTAGAACTAGATCTTCAAGCCCTTTCAGAAGGCCAAAAGGTGTATGGATATTAATAATGCTTGGTCAAAGTGGAGTTGTATACTGTCACCGCTTGGGGAATTGTATGTTACAATGAATGTGTGTGTACGTGTGTGACTATGTAATTTAGAATCCACAAGGTAAGCCAGGTTCTTTCTACAGCTTGCAAGAGAACTTATTTTCCAACTTTAATTGTTTCCCTTTTTAGAACATCTCTTTTCAGAATGGAATACTTGTATAAAACTGAACTTCTTTAAACTATATTTTCAGCCATAGCATTACAAGACCAGTACTGAATTTATGCAACCAGCATACATTAAGAGAAGAATGTTGGCATGGCTGGATTGCTGTTCTGTTACAGTTGAATGAATGATCCCATTACAAATTTTAATTGGAGAACCACTTACTCTCCTGGCAAATTCACCCTAGAAAGCCATTTATTTATTTTGTCTCCTTTAAGTCTTTCCTTGAACCAATTCTATGCCTAAAGAACTCTATTAGTTCCATCATGTATAAGCCTGAAGGTGATAATACATTTTTCAGTTAGTTAAAAACGTATTTGGCAGTAAACCCCAGAGAAGTAATTGAGAAAGAACAGGCAGTTGTGGGGTCAAGAAAGTAACTAAATGCAGCTAAAAATTAAAGAATAGTGACCAACAAATATCAAAACACTATGATCTTTGTGAAAAGACTTGACTTTTATATCTGCTTTTCCAATTAATATTTATATTTTAGAAAAACTGATATTGAAAGTAGTCCAGGGTGTTCCTTAAGACTATTTTGCCTTTTAAAATGAATTTCATTTATTGATGTAGTCCCTGTTCAGGGTCATAGAATTAAATAAAATCTGTAAGAGACACTTAGCTTTCACAGCAAGGAACAATCTTATATACCTTCCTGGGCAAAATTGTTTTACTTCTACACTATTGTAACTTTAGCTTTACTGAAATGTTAATCCAATAGTTAAATAAGTACCTCAAGAAGAGTTGTATTCTTTAGCTAAATGATTTGCAACTAAAAATTATATTACATGGCTTTCTGTTTGCCATGAGAGTCTAGCAAGTTAAAAAAAATGAAATTACATTAAAAAGCACTTTCAGCACCAAGATCAGTAACCTATATAACACAAATTAATGTATTAATTGTGTAACATCCTGGCCTATTGCATTAGAAATAAATAGCCTATCCACTAACGCTAATGAGAGAAGTCTACAAATATCCACAATTGATAAATTGCTTTCTTGGATGTTGTAACAGGACAAGAATTTGGCTTTATGGGAAATAAGTATATTTGATCAATATTTCCAATGAATCCCAGCTACTGTGAGTTACTAAAAAGTTCCCCTTATCAAGGGAATACATTCCTGTGAAGATAATATGATATTACAAAGGCCATATACTGTATATAATGGGCATCATCATCCTTAAAACCTCTTATAGATTATAGGTACAGCAGTATACTTTCAATAAAATAAAATAAAATATAAGAGGCAAAGAACACTTTAATCAAGAGTTAAGAGCTCTTTGAACATTTAATCCAGCCTTATTATATAATATTATTAATTAATAATTAATAACAAAAATGGGAGTGAAAACCTTTGAAGGCACATTCACTTAATGACTGCGTGCTTTACTTAATGACTGTAGTGATTTTCTTAATACCTTAACAAAAAATTTCATAAAATGAATCACAATTCACTTAACAACTGTCTTTCTTAGAAACAAAAAAAATGTGGCTCAATTTTGGTCATGCATTGAGGACTATCTGTATTATACAAAATGTAAGCTGCAATCTTTTATAATATTAAACACCTTGTGAGATTCTTTGCAGTCAAGACAAGCAGTGTGTGTAAATCAACATCTTCTTAGATCTTGGCTTCAAAAGAATTATGACACTTATAATACTTTTTATTACTGTCAATTATGACAATAATAAAAATGTCTTTTCCTGACACTAGAAAAAAAATAATTCCAGGCAATTTTTTTCAATCTTGGCCATGTAAGATTAGGGGAATTCTACACAACCAGATAGAGTTGTGGGGCAATTGTACAACCAGATGGGGAATTCTGGGAGTTGAAATCCGCATATTAAAGTTTCCAATTTTAAAAAACATTGCCTTAGATTTTCTTTTCCAGCATCCGGCAAAGACATTTGTTTAAAAAACAAATTTTATTAATTTTACAATTAAAAACAAATCAACAACACATACACGAATAGAAAAACGAGAAAAGAGCAAAGAAAAGAAAAAGAAAAGCAAAAAGAAAGGAGAAAGAAAGAAAAAGAAAGAACGAACGAACACTTAAAAACATTCTCATTTTCCACAGTTTGTAAGATCTTTTCTCTTCTTATTTTATACCATATACGCACATCTTATCCATATATATGTTTATATTACACTCATATAAATTTGTCCCACTCTTTTATACCTTATGATATAAGGTCTATCTTTGATCTAACCATTTATACCAACAGTTCCAATTGTTATAATATATTGAAGAATCTTTGTTTTTTAGGGCTAAAGTTAGTTTGTCCATTTCTGCACAGTCTAAGATTTTTTGGATGATCATCTGTTCTGTAGGTATGTGAGGTAGTTTCCAACACTGAGCAAATGCTAGCCTGGCCGCTGTTAATATATGTATTATTATATACTTCACTTTTTTAGGTAACTGTTTGTCAAAAATCCCTAACAGGAAGGACTCTGGTTTATACTCAATCTGTTCTTTTGTTATATCTTCTAGCCACTTTCTAATTCTTTGCCAGTATTTCTGAGTTTCTTTACAAGACCACCACATATGAAAAAAGGTTCCTTCTTTTTTTTTACATTTCCAGCATTTCGGACTCATGTTGGGGCGCATCTTCGCTAATCTTGAGGGAGGAAGGTGCCATCTGTAAAACATTTTATAAGTGTTTTCTTTATATGCTGCCGATTTTGTAATCTTATTGTTTCTACTCCAGATCTTTTCCCATTCTATTAAAGGGAAAATCCGTCCTACGTTCCTACTCCAAGCTATCATATTCCCTTTGACTGTCTCTTCTTCTAACTCTACTTCTAGTAGGTAGTTGTAAAATTTAGTTATATTTTTTTTGTCTGATCCTAGTAAAATTTTGTCTAAATGTTGGAGTTTATTGTTAATTCCGAATTCTTTTTTCTCCTGTTTGTATCTACTGTGAATTTGGAGATATACCCACTGATCTATTTTAAATCCTTGCTCTTGCAGCTCTTGTCATGTTTTCAAATTTCCTTGTGCATCTAATAAATCTTTGTATTTGATCATTTTAGTAATGTCCAGATTGTTTGGATGAATCATCGCCTCCATTGTCGATAACCAAATCGATACTTTTAAATAGTGTTTTTTTCCGTACTTTTTTCCAATTGGTTAATAGTGAATCTCTAATTAAGTGTGTATGGAAATATGTCCGATTGACTTTCCCTACCTCCCATAAAAAGGTGTGCCATCCCCTCTGCAGGTCATGGCCTTCTAACAGTAGCGTTCTTTTGTTGAATAAATTCACCCAATCTTTTAACCATACTAGAGCGGCTGCCATATAATATAATTCCCAATTTGGAAGTGCCAGTCCACCCCTGCTCTTCAAATCCTGCAATGCTTTTACATTAATTCTAGATTTCTTTCCTTGCCAAATGAATTTAACTGTTATTTTGTTGAGTTCTTCAAAAAAATTTCTATGTAATTTGATTGGAATCGTCTGAAATAAGTATAAGAATTTTGGTAAAATATTCATTTTGGTAGAAGCAATCCTACCCAATAGTGAAAGTTGCAACCTACTCCATGATTCTAGATCTTTCTTTAGTTGTTGCAACAATTTATCATAATTATTCTCTTTGAGTGTCTTGCAATGTGGTGTTAGCCATATTCCTAAATATTTAACTTTCTTTGTTACCTGTATTCCCATACTTACTTCTAAATCTTTTTTCTGTTCTTCTGTTAAACTTTTAGTCATTAGTTTTGTTTTCTTTCTATTGATTTTAAGTCCTGCTACTGCAACAAATTGTTCTAGTTCTTTTATCAATTTATGTCCTTTTTCTATTGGTTCCTCCATAAAGAAGACCAATTTGCAATTAGTATTCTTCTTTTTTAATCTTCAATCCTTTAATCTCAGGATTTTGCCAAATTAGTGTTAATAGTGTTTCTAAAGCGAATATGAAGAGGAGGGGTGAGAGAGGGCAACCCTGTCTAACTCCTTTTTCTATTTTTATTGGTCGAGTGTATTCCCCATTTATTATGATATTGGCCTGCTGTGTATCATAAATTGTTGTTATGATGTTTTCAAATTTAGTGCCTAAATTTACATTATAAATTTTTTGAATTAAAAATTGCCAATGTAAGTTATCGAATGCCTTTTCTGCATCTAAAAACATAAGTGCAGTTTGTTTTTCGGGGTGGGCTTCATAAAATTCTAAAACATCTACTATTGTTCTTAAATTATTCCTTACCTGTCTAGTCGGGAGAAATCGATTTTGATCTTCATGTATATACAAATTTAAAACTCGTTTTAGTCTATTAACTATGATAGAGGAGAATATTTTGTAATCGGTGTTTAGGAGTGAAATTGTTCTGTAATTGTTAATATATCTAAGGTCATATTCTTCCTTCGGGATCAGCGAAATCAATGTTCCCCTCCACTAGTCCGGCATCCTGGCTACCAATAAGACCTTGTTAAACATTTCCAACATAAGTGGTCCAATTTGTTCCGCAATTGCCTTATATAATTCTCCCGGGATCCCATCTGGCCCCGGGGTTTTATTATTCCCCTGATTCTCTATTGCTGATTTCAGTTCGGACTAAGTAATATCTTTATTTAATAATTCTATCGATTCATCTCCGATTACTTTATCTTTCATTTCATCTAAGTAATTTCTTATTTTATTCTTATTGACTTCTTTTTTATATAACTCTTCAAAGTATTTATGTAAAAGACAAAGTATTAATGTCTTTTTTCTTTTCTATCTCTTGTTGTATGTCGCCCTTTTCGTCTATTAATTGGTATATCAATCTATTTTATTTTATTTTAGTTTATAAGATAGCCATCTCCCTGGTTTATTAGCATATTCAAAATAAATTTGTTTAGTCATTTTCAAATTTATTTCCATTTTTTCTTGTTCAATTAAATTCAAATTATGTTTGACTGTTATTATCTGATTTTGTACTCTTTGATCTTTCGAGGTCTTTTGTAATTGGGTTTCTAATTCCTTAATTATTTGTTGTAATTTATTTTGTTGAGCATATTTTGCTTTATTTCTCATGGCGTTATAAGAGATTGTTATACCTCTTAAACTGCCTTCAGTGTGTCCCAGATATTTTATTTCAAGGTTACATCATTATCATTTTCCTTTAGAAAATAGTTTAATTCCTCCTTAAGTTTATTAGTATACTCTTTTTCTCTTATTAATTGGGTGTTTAATGTCCATCTTTTCTTTGGTTTTTCCCTACCTTTCCAAATTATTTGAATTGGGTTATGATCAGCCCATTCATTTGGTAAAATTTCGGTTCCTTTTATTTCATTTGCAATTTCCCCATTCATCCACGCCATATCGATTCTTGTCCATATTTGATGCGGGTTAGAGTAAAATGTAAATTGTTTTTCTTCAGGGTATAATTTTCTCCATAAGTCCACGAAATTTAACTCTTTCATCATTTCCTTACATGTCTTAGGAAACTCTCTTTTTCCTTTTTTGTTCTTCCTCGCATTACTATGGTCCTTTTGGTAATGAGCAATAGAGTTAAAATCTCCTATAATACAGATATTCCTTTTTTCAAATCCTATTATTTTTTGATGTAAATATTTAAAAAACTCTTCGTTTGGGGCATAAATTACTACTAATAGAATTGAAATGGTATTGAGCAAGATCTGTAAAACCAGAGTTTTTCCTTCCGGGTCTGACCAAACTAAATCTGCTTTTAGATCATCTTTCACATATATTACAATCCCTTTCTTCTTCTTTTTTTATCTGTTGGTGCAGTAAATAGCTTCCCTAGTTTCGGGCAGTCTAAGTATCTTTCGTTTGCTTTCCTTATGTGAGTTTCTTGTAAGCATATTATGTTGGCGTTTTGTTTAATTAATTTGGCTATTATTCTTTTCCTTTTTGTCGTCGAATTTAAACCATTTATGTTGATGGATGGAAGTTTCTTTTCTTCATCCATTTAGTTAGATCTGTTTTGCTCTTTGTCTCGTGATAATGCCGCTCTCTCCTTGTGCTTGCTGTGGACTAGTTTCTTCTCTCCCCTGAGGTGGGTAGTCGTTCCCTTGGTTTCTTGGGGATCCTTCTTTTTCATTTCTGTGGTGACTTTGGTCTTCCTGAGAATTTCTTTTTAATTCCACCTTACTACTTTGGTCTTCCATGCCTACTAGTTGTTCATAAAAATCTTGAGCCCTTTCCATAGAATCTATTTTGATTTTCCTTTCTTTCCATGTTACTAACATCCCCTCTGGGATTAGCCATTTGAATAGATTTTTTTTCTGATTTAGATAACTAGCTAAAAATTTATAGTCTCGTCTTATTTCCCTTACTTTCCTTGGGATTTGCTTAAGGATCAAAATTTCTTTGCCTTTATACATAATTGTTCCGTCTCTAGACATCCTAAATATTATATCTCGGACACTCCTTCTTGCAAAACGAATGTGGAGCTCTCTCGGGCATTTATGACGTCTCGCATAGTTGGTGCTGACCCTGTAGACTTCATCAAATTCCCGGAGTATATCATCTTTGTCTTTTCCCAATAATTTGGCCAATATTTCTGCCATTAGCTGCTCCAGATCTTCTTCCTTGGATTCCTCCACATTCTGGAATCTCAGGTATGCAGCCGCCTTATCCATTTTTAGGTAGACCAATGAATCTTCCATTTCTTTGCTTACATTTTAAAATTCTTCATCTACCCTTTCCAAATTCTTTTCCGTTCGTTCCGTCCTTGTCTCTATTTCTTTATCATTGTTTCGTTTTTTTCAAGAGCCTGTTGTAGTATTCTGATCTTGTCCTCTACCTTGAGAATGTCCGCTTTCATCTCAGCTTTTAACTTTCCCATCTCTTCTTTTAATTCACTAATATCCGCTCTTGTTTCGTTATGATTTTTAATCATTATTTTTTGAAGTTTTGTCATTGATTCTTGTAAGGTTAGCAAAGTTGATTGTATATTAGCATTCAAGACATTAGTTTGTTTTTCCCCTGGTAGCGATTCTTCTATGGTTTTTTGGACTGTAGGTGAAGCTGTTGCCAGAGTGGTTGTTAAAGTCGGGGTAGCCTTCCTTCCAGTTTTCAGGGCTGTGGTTGTTGTAGAAGTCATTTCTTTTAATATTTGTTTTTGTTGTTGGATTATGTTATATTATAACCTCTATATTAGAATTTCAATATCTAATTACTTAGTCTACCTATCTACTAAGTAGTTGAATTCTGTGCTCTTAACTAGTACCTAAAATATATAACTATATGTTATTTTGATCTTATGTCCTCAATCACGTATATAATTTTGTACAGTCTGTATTCAAATACTATTCAAATACTATACAACACTATATAACATTCCTTATGATAAGTGTATATATAACCAATAATATGTCAAGTCCAACCAGGTTTCAGTTTTATAAGATTATAGGTTTTATATAAATATATATATATATATATATATATATATATATATATCATATCTTATCTGACCCTATCTGAGTCTTAAATATTCTAAGTATTCTAAGTCACCAATATTTTGAACCAAAGCGGTATTATTTTCCCCCCAATAAATTGGTTATAATCACACACTAAATTATACTATTATAGCATTAAATGTTAAATATTGATATTAAATCTTATACTTATTGATTATATAGTTCTTAACCTTCTTGCTATTTTCCTTATCAAACTGGTCAAAGTATGACTATCCCTAATATTGCAAATTATTCAAAACAATTAAATCAGTTAGCAGATCAGTCTAACAATCAATATACCTTCCCTGAATAGATAAATTTATAGCTGTTATAGAGAGAAAGTGAAAAGAAAAAAGGAATTCACCCTAACATCAAAGAATCAGCAAATAGTAGAAAAGGTACAGAGTTAAACAGAGTAGTGCCAAGGAAAAACAGAGAAGGAAGAGGGGAGGGCAATAAGAAGATGAATTTTTAGAGTCAAATTTAAGTCCACCATTTCTAGGATTCTGTACTTTTCTTCCAACACACCAGAAGCAGGGAGGCAGAAAGTGCTGAATAATAGCTGCCAGCAATCAGTCTGGCTGATTGGCGGCTGGCTCTTACATGCTGAGCTCTGGAGGTCTTCTCTTTACTGCCAGGGGGTTGCCTTCCCCCACAATGCAGCCCGAGTTTCCCCCACACCGACACAAATCTCTACGGGATTCGAGTATCCTCTGGGGATCGCACCAAGTGCAAGAAGAGATAAGCTGAAACCGCAGATGGGCTTCTGCACCTCGACATGTCCTTATCTTGCCACCGGAAGTCCCCCAGGCAAAGACATTTTTATTCCCCTCAGCAATTTTAATGTGTTAATATACTAATATATTCAAATTACATGCCACATAAACAATTAAAAATCCGCTTAACAGATTGTTTATATGTTTAATTTCAAACATATTTATATGGTGATGTTAATATTGTAATTTGCCTGAAAAAAACACAATTTCCTTAAATCAAATAAGCAAAACAAATACTTACTAAGATGGATATTGCAACTCTGTTTGATTTTATATTAATATTAAATTTGCCATTAATATTTCTCAACCCAGCCACATTTTTAATTATAAATTGTGAATCTAGCATGGAATAATTTAATAAAAGTCCACATTGATGAAGATTTAGTTAGTTAGAAAACAATGAGAGCTGATAAAGTGAAGTCAAAATAACTAACCAGCACCTAGGATTTTGAGAAAGATATAATGTTATTAGCTAGAAATCTTTAATAATCTTAACCAGTAGAAATCTATAAAAAGAATCTACAGACAAAGAACAAAATTGCAAGCAGTTTCTGGTCTAATGCGAGAGGGACAGGAAGGGGTGTGAGACGGGAGGAAGGGGTGATCTGCTTTGGCTCTTCCTCAGAACAAATTTAAATGCAGTGGAACCTCGGGTCATGAACACTCCTGTTTGTGAACAAAAAAATCCACCCAATTTTTGAATTGGGTCACAATTCAAAAATTGGGTGGCAAACAAAATCAGTTTCTCCTTTGGTGCCATTTTTTTGATTGCGCGTATGCACAGTTGGTTGTGCTTCCAAACATGACCAAATCAGGTTGTGACTGGAGTCCGGGAATGGATTACAGTTGCCAACTGAGGCTCCACTGTATTTTGTTTCTATACAATCCTGAATGGCGTAATTGCTAGGTTCAAGCATGTTGGACATACTCTACATGCTCTACAATAAAAAAAATAGGCATAATTAACAATTATATAAAGTTCCTCTAACCTACAAAAGGCATCATACTTATAACAGTGATATAACATGTTAATATATATATATGTCAATAATTTAGCAATTACAAAATTCAACATTATAATATAATTTTAATCAATTTAAATGTAGGTGTGCTGATATAATTTTCATTGCAAAAATGCAGCAATGTGTTTTTCTTTCTGCAGCAATTTTTTTCAATAGTTTATATTCTGGAATATATTCAAAATTCTATAATGATGAAATTTAAATATATACTTTTTTCCTGAAGGAATTCATTCAGAAGAAACAATATTTTAGATTTAAACAAATTGGCACTTCAAAACATGGTTACATAATCAACATGTAAATTAACCAATGAATAGTTTAGCATTTTGATGATTAGTTTCATCTAAAAAAATCCATTTTTTTACACAGGAAAATATGTTAATTAAACATTAATTAATTTTCTAGCATTTTGATGATTAATTTCATCTAAAAAAAATCCAATATTTTACACAGGGAAATATGTTAATTAATAAAGAGACATTTTCTAAAACTTGTCTTCAAATAGGCTTAAACCACATTTAACTGCTCATTGTGTTGGTAATAGATATTTACAATCTCCATCAAAATAATTTTCTATACTTTCTACATCTCTCAGTACAAAATTGTATACAATTTTGTATATGTTATTGGATTCAGTGGGGCTTGTATGTGGATTTACAATGTTCAGGGATAACTACTAACTAGAACATTAACAATCTATACAAAAATGTTTGTGAACAAAGAATTACTGGTGAATATTTCCAAATAGAATTAAATTTGCATTGATATTAGGGCAAAAATATTGATGAAAGCCATTGTTTTCATATTTGGTTTATGGTGTTCCCAAAGACACATGCAATGAGCATTCTTACTTCTCCCCCCACTTTTTTTTTTACAAAAGAAAATAACAACATAATAATAGCCAACTCTCCAAAAGCATATACCATTGCTCCCAGAGGAGTGAAACATTTGGAAAGACTGATCTTGCCTTATTTACCAGCTGTCACTTCCAGTAATGTAGCTCCTCCCCCATTTGAGTGAATCCCAGCAGAAGTCACCTTTAAAAGAGGAGTCTATACATTACCTACCTTTAACTGTGGTTTTTCAAAAAAAATAATCAATGAATTAATGTAACCTGCCCTTCGACTGCACTTGGTGCTCCATGACTGCATGTTCCTTTGAGTTCAATGTGTTGATCAAAAGAGGTTCAGCAGTAATTTCATCTAACCCCATAATGTACAAAGTAGGGCATGTCATTTAATGGAGTGAATTTAATTTTTGCAATTTTTTTTCAGAGCGGGGTTTTGAAAATATGTGTTTTTACACCAAGAATTCAAATCTGCAGGTTTTTTTTTCAATTCTATAACATTTAGCTTGGTATGGTAAATCCATGTCTGATCATATCATTGTTAACTTTATCTTCTCAAAATTATACCTTGTGCTACAAAAATTAAAGGTGTTATTTTTTTGTATGAATCTCATCTAAGGAAAAAAAAATCCATGCAATCATAAAGTAACATTGGAAAGCAATTATATGAGTTACAAAATGTTTGAGTTGATTTTCAAGTCTTGTTTTGATTCATTCTTCGACATCAACTGCTGACTTACTTCTTGGCCTCTGATATAACCCTCATGTTCCTCATGCGTATACAGTCTGTTTGCTGCTTTTGTGACCTGATTCACACATCTCTCTATTGATCAGCTTTGGAAGCCATATTGAGACCAGATTCTCCCATGCTGCCACATTTTGAGGCTGGGAAAGTGGGAGGGGAGAATTTCTTGGAGTGTATGTAGTTAGACATAATAACATTCTTTTTTTAATTCAAGGTCATGTTAATTTGCACATAAGTCTTAAGTTGGGATGGATGGTGATTAGGCCATGTGATGTGATGATGGGTGCAGGGGATGGATTTGTAGTTTTTACTTACTGCAAGGAAGCCCGGAATGTTCAGATTCGGGATTCCCCTTTTGTGCCAGTTACTATCCAAAATAAAAGGAACTTTTGAGAAGATATTTGTCTTGGAGTTATTGGTTGGAATGGAGGTTTGCTAGAACGCTGACATTGGGTATGACAGGACCACTGTCGTAGTTGCATTGGTTTGTTAATTAACTTCTATATTTCCATTGTAGTCAGTTTGCATGTCAAAGGTGGCTCACATACACCTTCAGACCAGTTAATCAGCTCCAGCAGAGTGAACGCTCAGGCTTGATTTCTACCCAGTGCATGGCACCACCTTTACCGCTAGTATTAACATTTGTAGAATCTCTTTGTCAATGCCTTCATGAAATATACCAGATTATCTGCAATCACTTGAGCAGGTTTTCCAGTTTTTGAGCCTTTCTCTAGAGTGAACTGATAAAGATACCTGCCACACTGCACACAGAATAATGTTCTTCTTTGATGGTACTGGGAAATTGCTGATCTGAGAGGCACGTTTAAATTATATTAAAGTAACCAAATTTATTTATTTATTTAGTGTATGACACATGTTGGCTAGGGATCATCAAGGTGGCTGGCTGCCTCTGTGAAAGGAATTTTTTGGGGAGGTGTTATCTTTACCAGTGGGACGCCTGAATGCCAGTAAGCATTCGGGGGAGGCTCCTTTCTTGTCTCTGTGTTTTATTCACTCATGAGGCCACGGTGGCTTACATAGTAAAATGCCTGAACACCACTGAGACTGGCAGTTCCTGTGAGCAAATAAATCACACAGGGACATGAAAGGAGCCTCCCCTAAATGCCTACTGTCATTCAGGCATCCCACTGGTAAAGATAACACTGCCCAAAAAATTCCTTTCACAGAGGCAGCCACCACTTCGGAGATCCCTGGCTAACACGTGCGATATGCTAAATAAATAAAAAAGTAACCAAAATATCTTTATAATCCCCAAGAAATGTCACAACTTTTGAACATCCCTAATGTTTGGAAATGGAAAGATGAAAAATTTGACATACCTTACTACAAAGGGCCAGGATTCCCACCAACAATTTTATAAGCTGAAAAAGTTCTGAATGGGATTTTCTGTTTCTATTATAGATTAAATTTCTTGCTCTTCTTAGCTTAGGTTTCCCAGATGGACCTGAATCCAGAACAACTTTTTTTTCCTTTTCTTTGTTTCCTACTAATATCACAACACCTCACATATGGGGGATTAATACTACCTCCTGAGGGTGCATTTTGAAGGAAGGATAGGTGGATTTACCAGACATACTCATACATATTTGGCAGGTACAGCAGGTAGCATTAGGGCTTAAATTCTGTTTCTTGGGAAAAGTTAAAAAGAGAGAGAAGGAAGACTATTGTCTTCATATTTCATACAGAGTGCAGTTGCAATTTTCTGATAAATACCAAGTATGTCCTAAAAAGTAGCAGAAAAAGTGAGAAAGTAAATCTAAAGAATCATTTCCTTATATACAAAAAATAATTGTGGCTTGCAGTAATTTAAATGAGAAAAAATGTGGTGGAAAAATATGAAGGGTTGATTAATTGCTAATGAAGACATGTAATATATCAGTATTATTTTTTATTGAATATACATTTTATTTCATGTAGATTCTGTTTCTTGGATATGTTGGGGAGGGAGGATTGTAGCTGAATCTTTACTTGCTTGTAATTGAATTGTTTCCTTTTATTGTTAAAGTCCGTATGTATTGTATCTTATACCAAGCTGAATTGGGAATTTATACAATTCAGGCATTATCTAAAATTAGAGTTTATAACTACTGGTGCAAAGTTAATGAAATGGAGACTGATAGACTACCCAAATTATGCCTACTAGAGCAAATAAAACTACAATCACAAATCTCCTGGATCATTAAACTAACAAATTTTGTAAGAAGCTGTGGTTTTCCCATCTCTTGTGTAACAGGAGAACAATCTAAAAAAAGAGTTGCCCAAAGAATTAAGGATATAGATGCACAAACTGATATAGCTATCCTTAGTAAGGTAGGTAACTTGAAATGGTTGAGTAAATACAAATGTACTTTTCAAGTAGATAGCTACTTGAAGTCACAACTCCCAAAACATCTTAGGGAGATATTCACGAGAGCGAGATTTGAATAGCTTGACACAATAGTTAGAAATGGGAGATTTCATGCAATACCATACAATGAGCGTCTCTGCATTTGCGGAGTGGCAGAGATAGAGGACCTGGCTCACATCCTATTTGACTGTTGCCTGTATAAGAGGATGAGAGACAGGTATCTTGGCCTATATATGAGATGAATGACCCATTGGGATACTCATATCAAAATAACTTACCTTATGTCCGGCCAAAACTTGAAAATAACATTTAAAGTAGCACAGTATTTGAACAAAATGATTCGGTTGATATCTGCATATGTAGGATTGATTGGGGTAGATTGCAAGGGCAACTCCAAAAATATAATGTTACTATATTTTATCTATATTTTTAATTATTGTACATTATTACGATTTTATTTTGGATTGTATGTTATTACTATTTCATCTTAAATCGTATTTTGTCTAGATTCCATTTTAAATTGTATTTTATCTAGTTCCATTTTAAATAGTATTTTATCAAATTTCATTTTGAATTGCTTCTATTAAATTTTAGTAATAAATTGTTGCTGGAATTTGTACTATGATATGGCCCAAGGGCTAATCAATAAAGACTTACTTGTCACTTTACCAAGCTATTATCTGAGCAAATGATTTCCATTGCATATTTCCCCAACTTCATATAGTCAAAATAATGATCAATATCATAATATATAATAACGTTGATGATTAATTAGTGATTTTTAACAAATAAACTGGCCAAAGCATTTATCCATTTTTCATTAAATGAGGAGGACTTAACATGGAAGATTTACATTGTTATTCTTTTTCCCAAATTATTCAGAAAATTGAAGACATAATGTTACTTGTGACCTATGAATAAAATAGTTATAAACATAGGTTTTCTACAGATTTCTGTATTATGAAGTGCATCTTCCAGTCGGTTGTATTAGCTTTTCTTTAACATATGTTGGCTTCTTTTTAATTCTTTTTTAAATTGTAAATCATGCAGAACCACTATGAAGTTGCACAGCCTTGAAATGTAAATATTAAATCAAACATGTGGGTGTATATACTTGTGTATGTGTGCATGTATGTGTAATTATGTAAAATATTGTATATAAGAATCCCTTAAGTACTGTTTATGATTTTCATGTTATTGAAGTCTTTTTAAAAAATACTATAGTTCTTCTTTCTTTTTTCTTTTTGTTACTGTTTTGTTTTTATTTTTTTTCAAACTTATGCTGTTCTATTAAACAAATAAGATACAATAAATAAACAACTACCCTACAGACTAGGGCCTTCCCAACTTCATTCAAGTGGAGCAATAATAGCTAATCTGCTGTATGGTCTGTCTAGAAGAACTAGATAAAGAGTAAATAAAAAAATTGTATCCTTTCTGTATTATATGTTCAGAAGAGTGATTGATGGTTGGTTTTTTGCCAACCATTTTTGGATGGAATGGGAAAGGACATCAAGGACTCCATCAATAGATGCTCAGGAACTACTCCACAGTTAATTGATTAAGGATAGAAAAATCGCCCAGCCTTGATGGTGAGGTTCAGAAATTGTAGGCTATGGAAGAACACAATTTCTGTTGATGATCCCAACTCAAGAATGAAGTAAAATGAAGTAAAAAAAACATGCCTATATGAAAGAGCATATAGTAATGAGAACTATTTATCCGGGATATATTTTCCTCATTAAACACCAGATAGAATTATCTGTTAGATAATTATCTGTTGAGCAACGATTACACAGAGAATTGTTTACAGACTCTACATAGTATATATCTGATGTTTAAGATACCATGAATCATTTGTTACCAAGAATGCCCTGCCCCATGTGTTGATCTTTTGGATGATATTTCATCTTGACTTTTGATTGTTCTTCATTGGTCTCCTCAGACTAAAGTGCATACTGTACTGTACTTTATATAGAGGTGACCAATGAAAAACAATCAAGTAATTTTAATTTGGATTTATCATTCTTAAATATCCATACTTAATAGTTCAGGGGGGAAAATAGAATATTAACTTGATGGCCTTTCTTATGAATCCTACATGATTTTAAATTCTATTTTTATATGCTTAGTGCCATTGTTTTTCTAATTTGGAGACTTAGACTAATAGCTCTTAAATTGAAACTTCAGCAAAGCTGTTGTTTTGATTTTATAGACAAAAGGAATGGTTTCCTTGGCAACAGATACTAGGGTAAAATACTTCAGTTGGTAACACTATTCTTACTCACTCAAGCTTCCTTTAGATATTCTGCAAGCAAAGAATAAATAGATAACACCCAATCAGTAGGAAATATTCAGTTAATCCAAGAGAAGAAGCTAAGGACAGGTAAGTCTGTTCACTTAATGGTCCAATCAGAGCTGTTGACAAGATTTCCACTGTTTTGTGAATTTGGAATTCCATGGTTTCAGACTTGACTGTTGGTCAATTTTAGCTAAAATAGAAAGGATAAACTATATTTCTTTTTCCTTTACCTCTAGGAAATTGTTTTTTTATTATTCTTGAAAAGAAATTCCTGCATTAGCATTATTTGAAACATTATATATATATATATATATATATATATATATATAT